CCAATTTTTTTTATTTTTATTTTTTGCAAAAGAAAAAAGGAATAATTTTGAGAAAATTATAACTTTTTTATTGAAATACGTTTTAACATATTCTCTTATTATTTTCAAATGAGTTCCCATATATATTTTTTAAACTTTTTATGAATAATATAGACTTGGACACTAATTAATTAATGATTTCCAAGACCTAACTTTTTTTTCTTAAATTTCTTCACAGACATAAATAGGTAGCAATTTTGGATAACAGTTGCATTGCATCTTCTTTATTTTGGACACTTTTCTCGGCCTAACTAATGGGATCAGTGAGACATCAATATTTTCTGCCAAAATGTTGAACTTGTTGTTGTGTTGTAGTAGCATTAATTAAGGCTGTTCAAACTTCAACACTGCAATCCCTCTGTAATTCAAACCGAAAGTGCTTTTCATGGTTTCCAGAAAAAGCCCAAAACTTATGGTGAGAAGCTCAATTCTTCATGTTAACCAAATGCTTTAAATTAATGATGGTATAGAGAAGGACCCACCCACCCCATGCCTTTAGAGCTATCACACTTGGGAACTCTCGTGGCTCTATCACACTATCTAAGATTCATATTTACATATTGAAATTGATGTATAATTTTGATTATTATTTGATTAGACTCTATAATTATATAAAATTTCAACTCACCAAAACATTCACATTCTTCGTTTTCTTCTCTCTCTCTCTCTCTCTCTCTTTAAGTTTTTATTACATGATTAATTATATTGACTACTTTTGAAAGGATGGATGAGAAATCATTTAAGAAAATGTGGACTTATGTTTAACTTATTTCTAATCACATTGGTTTACATGATATAAAAATACAATATCTTTTATATAATTGAATTAAGAATGTATTACGTACAAGAAATCAACTTCATTAAAAATCACTTTGAGTTGTCAATTTAATATATGCTTTCTAACCCAATTTTAAAATATATTTTTCTATTAATCCATCATCAAACGAGTGAGTTCAAAAATTCCTATTATCAAATTTTTCACATAAAGTAGATTAGGGTCATACTTTTTTTACAACAAGATTTCATTTAACTTTTAACTAGTTTTTAGAATTGTACAAGTCCTTATATTATTATAAACTACAAATTTATCTTTAAAATGTTACATTAATTATAAATTGGTTTTTAATTGATTTTTATTATTTGCAACTTAATTAAAAGGTTAGAACTATCCAACTTGTTTGATTGGACTAACCTAATCCAACTTGAATTTAATCCAATCCAACATTATTAGATGTCGATTCAAATTTGGTCGATCCATTCCAAGCCCCAAACCTAAAATAACAATATCTGATGTGAATTAGGCCTGATATGGATCCAACTCGACTATATTCAAAGTGTACCTAACCTGACTTGACTTAACATTATGAAACTCACCTTAATGAGACTTGACTTGACTCGACTAAACGTGGAATCAATTCCACTTGATGTAGACCTAACACAACTTAACCTAATGTGGTTATGACTCAAATCAACTCGACATAGGATTCGACTCGACACAACTCAAAGTAAACTTGACTTGACTCGACTTGGCTCAACCAAGACCCATCTTGACTAAAATCAATATGGTCCCAACTTCACTCGAATTGAGGTGGGTTTGACTAGCTTGAGATATGCTTCACTTGACTTGACCTGAGGTGGGTCTAACTAGACTTGGCCCAAGGTGGACTCAACTCGACTTTAACTTAATATGGCCCAACTAAACTAAACCCAATGTGGTTTTGATGTGATGTGGATTCAAATTTACTCAGGCTAACATGGATACAACTCTACTTAGTCTAATGTCGACCCGACTCTACTTGACTCAATGTGAGCGCGACCTCATTGAACTTGACACGACTTGACCCAGTGTGGGTCTGACTTTATTCGGTCAACCTGAGCCTTGCTCGACTCGGCTCTACCCAAGCGTGATCCAATTAGGCTTGACCTTGGCTTAACTTCTCTCATCCTAACTAGGGCTTGACTATACTTAAACTAACTCGGGCTTGATTCGACTTGGCCTAATATGGATCTAACTTGACTCAACTTGAGATGGGCCTGACTAAATTTAGCATGAGGTGAGTCTGAATCAATGATTGCATTTTTTGATCAATGATTGAAACAGAAAACACTACTGGGTATGAGGCAAAAGTAAAAAAGGTTTAAGGTCACTAGCATCAATAAGCATAATCAAGGTCACCTACATCAACGAGCATAATCAACTTTGTAAGTATTATAAATAAGGTTTGTTATGTTTGTCTCCTTAAAATTTTATCTTTGCATTAGCGCATTTGATGAGCGTATGGATAATGCATGATATTTCATAATGTGATAAGTAATAAAAATGGTGAATCCAATTCTCTTGATAAGGAAGGTCAATTTATTTAAAGAATAACAAGTTTTATTACCAAGTTTACAAAGATTTGTATCATAAATAGTTGAGATTTTCCTTTTTAACAAAGGTGAAGATTGATTCAAATATATTATATATGGTGTTTAACGTAATCAATATAAATAAAAAATGGATAAAACATTTAAAAGAATGAAATAAAAATATTAAATAACTTAATAAAGTACACATATTAAGTGAACGAGTGATAAAACTATTTCAACCAATTTAGTATTCAAGGGTTCTATTTCTTTCTTTCTTTTTTTTAGTTTTATATGGTCTTGTAATATTTCACAATTTTAGTCACATTCGTGGTGTGTAGACCTTGATATGAATATGATAGAAGGTAGGGGAATCAAGCTTGCCCTTAGTCTAAAACCAAATACAAGCGCCTAAAGGGTAAGTCTTCAACCAATTTTTACTTTCATCTCTATGTTATATTACTTTCATGATCTTATATATATATATATATATATATATATATATATATATATATTTGAAACTGTTAATAAATATAGGATTATCAAGGAATCAAACATTTATAGTTTCAGGGTTATGGCTCTTGAGATCGAATGTGGAAGGAGGACTTACCATGATGGAGAGTTTCATGTGCCTCTGATGAACTAGGTGTGGCAACAATAAGGGAAAGGGAATGTGATGGGTGTTCTTGATGAGAGATTGAACAAAGAGTTTAATGTGGATGAAATGAGAAACTTGATCATTGTTGGGTTGTGGTGAACTAACCTTAATGATAAAGAGATGCCAAAGGCTGCATAAGTGATAAAAGTTCTTGAGCTCGAAGTACCATTTCCAGAGTCTTTGAATTTATGTATTTCGAAAAGAATTAAGTTGTGTACTTTTCATGTAAATTTTCATTTTATTTTGTAGTTTTTGTTACTTTTATGAGAAGTTGTTTAATGATTCAAATTTAAGCAAGTAGTTGTGTAAGATAATTTCATTTGAATAAAGTTTCTTCATGTTTAATGATCTATTGTATTTGTGTAAATGGATTGAAGATAATTTCATTACGAGTCATCACATACTTAAGACTTACACTATTTGATTAATTCAATTAGAATTTATCTCTTCTTTTATTTTTCTCATACTTTTAATGGTGAGAGTTTAGATCAATAGGATTGTTTTAGTGTTATGAATTCAAAAATTGTCTACATTTTCTCTGCAATAAAATAATTGCAAACAAAAGAGGTTTCGAACCTCTACAAAACAATAGTCACCAATAAGAGAGATTAAAATCCTTCGCCAAAAAACCTCCACAATATAAATAAAATACTAGAGGTCATAGTAAACCTCTACAAAAGGGTATGGCGAATGTATCTGCGGAGGTTTAAAACCTATGCAAATTAATTTGCAGAAGGTAAACCCCCTGCAAATTGAAATAAAAACATCTACAAAATAGTTTTTTTTGTGTAATGTGACTCAAGGATTGACCTATCTCATAGAACTTTTATTGACATTTTGATCCTTTACCTTTTTTTATGTGGAATTCTTAGCATGTCAAAATGGACCAGTCAAACCCGTTTTGGCCTGTCAATTGGTGAGATGGTGAGCTGAAGAATTTGACTCGTCTCGCCATTGGGTGAGTTGGCGGGCTAGCGAGCTAGCAGGTTGGTTCACCACCCCTTCCTCCAACTTTTTTTTTATTTCATTTAAAACTTAAATAGTATTACACATTTTAACTTGGACATCAAACAAACGCGATTCATACACAAATATATTCATTTGAACAACAACTAAATCTAGAAAGTAGTAAAGCACAATACACAAATATATGTTTATCATTTCATTGGCAGTTCATATATGCAACCCGACACACCTTTTTCCTGGCAAGCTGGCACACTGACCTGTCAGGCCTAAATTTCTTTTACATGAGAATTCTTGATTATAAGATATTTTAGCCCAACCTAGACCGTAAATGAACTAGACGAAATTGAAAGGCATACATTAATGGTAATTACATATATTTTTGCTTATATTATTCTTAAATGTATGTATTTATATCTGTAGGTGTTATCTAGCTTTAAATGTTATACATAATTTTGCAGTCATCTTCTAAATTAAGTAATCCAAGTGAAATAATGAATAGATTAAATGAGATTATTTGGGGTGTGTTTTTTTTTCCAGGTATTAATTATTTGTGAGAGAGTAAGTGAAAAATGATATGTTTGTTTGTTTCAAGGGATTTATCACTACAAAAATATCAAATTTTAGTAGAGGTTAACTTTTGGGGGTTTAAAAACCTCCGTGAAATATTCTTTTTTTTTTTAATTTTTTTAAAAGAATTTAGGCAGTGTCTGAATAAACCGCTCCTGAGTGAAATTTTTTTTGATTTAATTTCTGCAAACCCGTGCTCATACATTCCTTCTTCACTTCCCATCCCCATTCCCTCTTCCTAAACCCTAGAAAATATTCTATCAGTTGCCATTTTCGTCGTTGGTGGAAGCGAGCGTTGGTGGGCGTTGCTTTCTGGTGGCCATTTTCATCGGAAGGTGGCGGCATATCCCCCGCCGTGAACTCGATGCTTCTTCGCTTCCTTAAGGATCACTATCAAGAAGTCGCCGCAAGTATCGTTCTGTCTTGGCCAATGATCGCGCGGTGCTCGAAATGTCTTCCATAGATCCGAGATCTACTTCTTCTTCCACTTCTGCATTTACAGATATTCCTTTTAATCTCAGGTATTCACACTGTTCCATGTCCACCTATTTTCTTTTGTAGCGATTGCGCCGATTTCATTTCGTTTCGCAATCAGAAACTTGTGCCTACCGGAAGAATTGGGCGATGTTTTGACCTGCTGTTGCTTGCGATTGAAACAAGTGAGATTTTGTATGTGAGATTGCGATAATGTTAAAAGTATATCTTAAACTTATTTTTCTCAACGACAGTGATAGTATGTCATATGGACTTTCCCTTCTGTAATAAAATACCTGACTCTGGTTTACTGTAATTTCATTTAGAAGCTTATTAATAAAAAAGAAGGAGTAATAGTTACCTCCAAGGTGCCAGAAACGGGTTTGACCTTAGAACCAACCTCCGATTCTATTCCCAATCGCGATGAAGTCCAGGAGGTGGAAAACAAAGAAGCAGAAAATGTTTTACCTGACAATCAAGAAATAGACTTAGTAGGATCTACTAATGAAGAGGATGCACTGGATCCAGAGAAAATGAGGCTGGAGGAAGCAGCAACAAAGGCACAAGCTGCTTTCAGGGGTTATTTGGTATGCAATTAACTGATTTTTAGAATGCTTTACTGATTAAATTGCTAATGTCTTTTAGTCTGAAAGCAAAACTGAACTCTAAATATGAAAAGTATGTTTTAATCTACACTGCAAAAGAATAGTAATTGAGTGGAGTTGATTTTTACATCTGCTATTATTGTAAATTATATTTACATCTGACTTGTTGTTTTCATATGCATGTTTTTTTTCAATTGTCCTGTAAATCTTGAAAATATTGGCTGCAGTGGTTGAATTGAAAGTGCAAATGCTACAGTGTGCTTGATAGCAGACTTTCTTAACTAATTGTAAATTTTTTCTATGAATTGTTGTTTTCATATGCATGTTTTTTTTCAATTGTCCTGTAAATCTTGAAAATATTGGCTGCAGTGGTTGAATTGAAAGTGCAAATGCTACAGTGTGCTTGATAGCAGACTTTCTTAACTAATTGTAAATTTTTTCTATGAATTGTTGTTTTCATATGCATGTTTTTTTTCAATTGTCCTGTAAATCTTGAAAATATTGGCTTCAGTGGTTGAATTGAAAGTGCAAATGCTACAGTGTGCTTGATAGCAGACTTTCTTAACTAATGTTATAGCTGCCTTAAACCCTCGACACTTGTTTGTTTGACAAGCCACAAGTACAACAACATTCCCACCTATGATGAAGCTTATCTAGAGTTTGTGTCAATCTAAGTTATGTAGTAGAGTTAAATAAAGTTTGAAAGGGATTGTGTTGCATGCATGTGGTTTTCCCTGCATTACATTAAGCTTAATCATGTTTTTTTCTTAACAGATAGATGAAAATGTACAAAGGGAAATTATAAATCACAGATCATTGAGGCATCCCAATATTGTCAGGTTCAAGGAGGTTTGTTCTCTTAACTCTGTAAACGTCCAAAGTCTTGGCCTATTTCTTCCTAATTGTACCTAATGCGTATTTTAATAAGTTCTCATGCTCTGAAAGTATAGGTCATACTAACCCTTACACATTTACCTATTGTGATTTGTCTAGACGAGCTACTCCAAAAAGGATATGGTCTGGGGTCTGGAATTTCCCTATTCATAGCAACTAATATCTAGTAAATTTTTACTCTTCCTCAATGTGATATTTCCAACTTTTATTCTATGATGTTTTTGTTGTGTTCTAGCAACTGCTAACCAGATATTTAACATTTTATCAAATAATTAAAAGAATTTCTGTTGTCATTTTTCAGTGAAAACATTATATGGAAGGCATTTAGGCCCAGCACTATTAATAGTGGACGTGGAGCTGAATTTGAAGGTGCTGTTATTGCTCTACTTCATCTCCCAGGTAACTGTTTTTGTATGATAGATTGGAGTTAAATGTTATTGGATTTACTGTTTTAACAATCTATTGTTCAACTTGTTCAGCTGCTCCATCGTAAGTACAATGGAAACTTCTTTGTAGATCTATTGGGAAAATGGAAGGAATCTGAATATGGGAGTGGTCAGTCTGTACCTGTTGGGGGAATTGCGTACTATATCATTGCACGTAAGAGAATTAGTAACAAATTAAAGTTAATTAATGTCATTTCTATTTGAATAATGTGTTCATTAAACGTTCCAATTAACCAATGTTGTTGAATGTCATGTTTTTGTTTTGTAGGGGCATTTAGTTGCTGGGCACCGGCTGCGAGTTCAAAGATTTTAGTTTTCCTTAGCTCTTACTCAAGATCAAGTATTTTATTTTATTTTTTAAAAAAGAGAATTTTCCGGCGGTTTTGAAAAACCCCCGGTAATTACCGGCAGTTTTCAAAAACCCCTGGAAATAGGGGCGGTTTCAGAAACTCCTGGAAATAGGGGCGGTTTTGTAGAAAACCGTCGGTAATTTTGTGACGTTGGTTTTTCCAGTGGTTTTTGTAACCGCGGGAAATGTATTTTCCGGGGGTTTTAACCCCCGGTAACGTCAAAAATAACCCCTACTAAAATTATAGATTTTTGTAGTGTATGGATAAACGGTGGAGAATATTTGAAGGAGAAACGTGAAATTCTATTTCTCTTAAGGTGTGGTGATTTGAGAGGGTGAAGAATATAATTACCAAACAATCTTTTATTTTTTCTAAAATTTACAATCTTTATCTATGATAACTACTACTAATAATAGTAATAATGAAATATAAAGTATTTAAAAATAATATTAATGAAGAATATTTTAATCAATCATATTTAATTTTAAATTAATTACACCTATTAATTTTTTTTATAAAAAGTCATTCAAGTTTTATTTTTAATTAATTTTAATTAATTATATTTTATTTCTATTAATTTTAATCATAAGAAAAAATATGTAATTTTACTACTTAACTTATTAAAATATTTTTTTATCTCACGATCAAATCATTCACAATTTTATAAATTTCACCTCCAAATTTCTTTTACTTTCACTTCGATATCTCTTAAAAAAACTATACCTTCTTATACTTTATTGTCTTTCTAATTCATACACTTACACTTCCTTCCATCGTATCCTAAAAGGAATATAGCCTTAATGAAGCATAACAAACTCATTTATGCACGAACGAGGTGCATTTTCTAACCAGTTTTCCTCTTTTTCTTTGCTTTTATTAAGTATCGAAGAACCTTGACAATACACTTTCCTACCAAACCTAATAAAAAGTACACGAAAAGACGACCATGTTGATGGAAAGTAAAATCATTATTGGATTGGACAAATGATAGTCACGGTTGTAAACTATGGACACTTTTTTTTTTCTAAAGTCATAAAATAATAAGGATTAAATATATTTTTTATTTTTCAATTTTAAGTAAAAATTAGAATTAGTTTATTTTTAAAATTTTGATCTAATTTAATATCTCAACTTTAGAAATAAGTGGATTCAATTCTTTTAATCAAATTATGTTAAATTTATTTGATATTTTAAATATATTTCATGATAGCATTTGAGTTGTTTACTTTAACACTTTTTTAATATTAATTGAGAAACGTGTTTAAAACTTCAATTAAACTTATTAAAATTTGATTAAAAAAATTAAATTCACGCAATTATAAAAATAAAGAACTAATAAATTTAAAATTTTGAAGAGGGCTAATTTTTCTCAAAGTTAAAAACATATTTAACAAAAAAAACATTAATAAGTTGGTATCAATGAAAGCAAGACTTACAAATGTGACTTTAAACTTTAGAGTTTATCAATTTGCTTAATTAACTCTTTATTCTCATACATAGGTGAGAATTTTGGTTCAGGTTTCTATTTTATTTTATTTTTCTTTTCATATCTTTTAAATTATTTTTATTTATACTGGAAAATTCTTATGACGATATCACCACATCTTAGGTCAAAAAATTGTTATTTAATACAATTAACCTTATTAAAAATGTCATATCAGTAAATAATTTTTCAGGAATTAAAATAAAAATTATTTAATTTCTTGAGACTAAAATGAAAATATAACATTTTAATGATTAAAATTAAAACAAAAGAGTTAGAGACTAAAATAAAAAAAATAACATTTATAAATACTAAAAATAGAAAACGATTTATAAATATGTGAAATAAAAAGTTATATGGGTAAACACAATTTTATAAGTGGCTATGGTTTAGAATAGTGAGACTATATTATTTTAATATTAAAGAATTTTAATATAAATAGTTTCGTTACGAACGAGTTTCATAATTTTAAAATACATTATCTTTTTATAGATAACTTTTCTAGAGTTCTCTGACTTTTTTTTAGGATTTCTGTCCTTTATTCATCTGATTGAAGAACCGAGACCATATGATTGATCCTTGTGGCAAATTCTTTAATTTAGACCGATTAATTTCTTAGATAGAGTAAGTTCATTTTCTACTCCTCTTTTTGGTTTGTTTTGTCTTCTTTTGCATGCGACGTTTGAGTCTATTGTGGATGCATGTGACATTTGAGTCTTCTATAAGACTCTTTGCTTATTAGTGGTCCTAACGGTCTACTTGTAGAGTTATTTTAGGCTTTCTATAGGAATTTGGTCATCTATAAGGTAAGGAAAGTTAAATACCTCATTTTGGCCGTTTTAGTAATTTGATAATTTGAGTTGGTGTGCTTTATTTGGATTAAATTAATTGAGTTGTGGAAATTGAGTAATAAGCTTACTGAAATTTTGTGTTCTAGCATGATCGTTTGAACTTGGTTTGGAATGTGTGTTGTCTGGTACATGAAAAACCTTATTGTGTACTCGTGAATTTTACCTTTTTTTGGTTGCTTGAACTGGATAAATTGATGTTATAATTAGTGTGAGATTGTTACTAGATTATGATAAAAGGTTAGTGTTATGGTTGGTTTTTTGTCTAAAATTTGTGGTTTGACAGGTGAAATCCGATATGAATAGTTTATTGAATGAAAACTTGTATTTGTATCCACTTATTTTACTCAAATTGGGTCTTTAGGATGCCTATTGTTGTTTAGGTCTGTGGTGAAGTATTGGTTTGGTCTAATGGACTAAGTTATTGATCAAATGAGCAAATTGATATCCAATCCAAATGTTTAAACATGTTTTCCAAATAATCACCAAGATAAGGGTATCAAATTGGGTCATTTAGTTAAGACTAGAGTACACATAGATCAATTTTAGAGTTGTTGTGACAGAAGAACGGTCTGAGAAGAACACCAAAGACGCGATGCAACTCCTTCGAAGCTTCCTCCGACGAGTAATACGCAGCGGGATGTTAACGAACCTCGAGATCGAGAGAGAATATAAGAAACCCTAAGTGAGACAACCTTGCGGAAACCCTATACACTATTGGAAGAGAGAAACCGAGAGAGAATTAGACCAAATCTGAGAAGGAACTCAGAGAACCAAAACCTAGACCGACGAAACCCTAAAAAGGGGAGAAGCTCAAAAGGAACCGATTAATCAGTTCAAACCAAAGATTGAACAATGTATAATGAAGATCAAATGGATTAAAGGTGTTTAATCGGTGGAAAATGGATTTTAATCGGTGAAATCGAAGAGAAATGGTGAAAGAGGAGAAGAACCCTAGGTTTTGATGTTCTGTGATGATGAAGCGGCAAAGATATGAAACTTACAGAGAAGATGAAAACCCGAAGATGTGGCTTGCGAGATGGAGAAATGCCCTCGCGAGAGAGAATGTGGAGAATGGTGTGAATGACGCTTCGAGGAAAGAAATGCTGAATGATGTGGATGAGATGCGCTTACGCGTGCACGTGGCTGCTACTGATGCACTGAGCAACTGAAGATGTGGCTGTTGAAGGAGAGGTAGCGTGGAGGGGAGAGAAGCACAAAGGTAAATGGAGAAAATGAAAATGGTGGTACTGTGCCGGAAGGTGGCTAGAGGAAGTCCTTGGACTCTCTAGCCTTGACTCTCAAGAGAGAATTGTTTCTGGTTTCAAAAAACTCAATTCTCATTAATCTCAAAAGTACCAAATACATTGATGGAGATGGTTATTTATAATAACCCATGCTCCAAAAAAGCTAAAATGCATATATAATAAAATGTAAAAATACAAAAAGAGAACACTGAAGAAGGTATTGTCAGGCAGGATTCCATCATGTTGGTTCTTGTGTGACGTTGAGGGGTATCAGAGTGGTGCTGAGCTCTGCAAAGTCAGAGAGTCACTGGACTCCAGAGTGCTGAGTGACCATTTTGGGCACTAAGCGCTATGAAGACAGTAAGCTCTTTGTGTTTGTAGCGCTGAGGGGAACTTTGGGTCGCTGATCATTGCGAAGATAATGAGCTCTCTATTTGAGGGGCGCTAAGCGATGCTGGGAGGTGTTGAGCGCCACTTCTCCCCTGTAGGTATGGACTTCTTTTTCCTTTAATTTGTTGGTCGAGGGGTTATCTCGCTAGACGAGAAGCCTTACTCGTTGGGTGCCAGAATCTTGGCA